TATTCACTTGATTCCTGGATTTATTATCAAGCTGGCTTTTTAAAATTAATAGCTGCAAATCCCGAGTAATGTGTATGGTTGCACATCTCCAAGAGAATGTGGATGGCAGATCTCAAAGGCTCTATGTCTTTTCATAGAATCTACTGAAGATTCTTTGCAAAAAAAAACCCCTTATGCGCCAAGATAGGCCATCAAGAGGGAAATTGTTAGTGTACAGTTTAGCTATGGAACATTTTCCTGTTACAAGCCCATTAAAGTTTGGTTGTTTTGGAAAATGTTAGTCTAGATTAATAATTCTGCCAAGTTGTTTTTTCAGTTGCATCTCTATATTGATCTTAATGTTTTCATTGGGAATTTAAAATTTGAGTTTATAAATTCTGTTTTTTGTGAATCAACCTGACTTCCTGAATTAGCTGCTAGTCAAATTGTTATACCATTTGCATAATATTTTTAAAAACTTCTTAAGAACGTATAATTGAAGATATCCATTGGAGCCAAAACAGTTGTCTCTTTATCAAGTGATGTTTTACAGAACATAACCAATTTTTAACTAAGTGTTCATACTAAAATTAATCCAACATATATTGGAAAGATTTCAAAACATACTTCAAACAGTGTTAATTTTAAATATCACAAATTTGTGCCTGCCTCTAATGTGTATTAGTTCCAGTAGCTATTAAAGTTCAAACTGGAAAATATTAATTTAAAAAAAATCACTAAAATCATTTCTGAAATGTGTCTTTGTCCTAGATATGCTTCACTAAATGCATTCTTCTCTGGAAATATCATTTGCTTCTTTTGATTCCTTGAAAGCAACAATGGAGAAAGATTCTGCTGGGGTGATAACTTAGTTTTGTTTTTGGTGCCTTTTTTGTCTGTATTTCCAAAGTTGATATCCTCCAGATGTGTTGGGATTACAGTTCCTAGAATTTCCACATTCAACACTCTGGAAAAGTGCTGGAGAGTTGCTATGCACAAAAGTTACTCTATTTTTAAAATTTTATGAGACATTGCCTAGCTAATCATTCCGTAGTTCTGCTTCTATAATACAAGTCTACAGTTTTCATCTTTCGTTGGTTGATCAAAGTCTGATTTTATCAATGTTGTGACTTATAGCTTAACACTTAGGAGAGTTAAGATATATAACATATTTTATTTTCCTGTGTGGTGATTAATATGATTTAAAGGAGCTGTGATGGCGCAATGGCTAGAATGCAGTATTGCAGGCTAGCTCTGTCCACAGCCAGGAGTTCAGTCCTGACTAGCTCAAGGTTGACTCAGCCTTCCATCCTTCCAAGGTTGGTAAAATAAGGCCCCAGATTGTTGGAGGCCTTATGCTGATTCTGTAAACTGCTTAGAAAGAGCTATAAAGCAATGTGAAGTGGTATATAAGTCTAAGTGCTATTGCTATTAAACCAGGAAGCTACCAGTATTGCTTGATAGATTTCTGCGTAAATATTTTTAAAAATCAGCTAAGTATTTGAAAAGTAAGCAATATTAAATATAATTTGATTTACAGAGACCACAATTTATTTCATTATTTTATTTACTTGGAGCAATAGCTTCCTAGACATTTCAGCTAGCAGGTACTATAACCATATATTTAATAAGAAGCGGATCTATCAGTGTAGATTGCCAGGCTTGATATTTTAGACAATGCCACAGGACAGTGGCTATTATTTTGGTGGTTACTTTTGATGTTATGCAGTGAAGAACTGAATAAGAGATGTTATTAAACTACTTCTTTGCTTACTTTGAGGGTAGGCTATTAAAATGTGTTCATGTGAACGCCTTTTTGTTTGAAGGGGGGGAGAAATCTTTTTTTTTTTAGTAAATTTACTCCTTTCTTAATACTATTTTCGAGGGATCCCGTACTAAATTTCGAAATCTAGAAAGTTAAGTATCAAGTTCTAGATCTTACGTAACAAATTGAAGTCTTTACGAAAAGAAGTCTTGGTAACGAAAATCGTGAATTCGACTGTTCTGACATCGTCCCCTCTTGTAATCAACATTATAAAAAGATAAAGAATTTGTCTACAAGGATTAATTGGGCCATAATCTCAGGTGGCAGATTCTCATATGATAAGCTAGAGAAGGAGATCCTTATAAAGTCTTGGAATGTTAGGGATAATTGAGAAGTATGGGGAATCTGTATTGAACTACTTCTAAGAATAATATGTCTTTATAAAGACAGAATTATGCACTGTTGAATAAAAGAAAAATTGCCTTAGCTCTAAAGTTCAACCGCCTGATTGATTAACACATCTAATAATCACATTTGTTGCTTTCAACTAAAGGAACCCTATTTAAATCACTTGGTTTGCTCTGTTTGGATACCATTTTTAGTCAGACCTTTTTTGTGAATAATTAATTGTCAGCTTTTTTGTTTGCAAAGGCTGGCCTAATTGAAACAAAGAATGAGAACATAAGTTGCATTGTTCTATTTTATTAGAATAAAAATTATTACAGAATAATCATTTAAAATATATAATTTAAAATATATGATCAAGCAAAGTTTGGTTGCCACTGATTTCTTGTAAAACCTTTAAGTCATAATTGTATCAAATGCTGTCTTCAGATTGATGAAGACAGAATGGTGGGCATATTCAGCATATTTTTGTGAAATTGTGATGCAGGATTATGCATTGATGGAAGGCTGAATATTTGAATCTGAACTGGCTTGTTCTATAGCTAGAATCTTTTTTTTTTAGATTAGTCAGTGAAGAAGCTTGATTAGTTTATAATGCTGAGACTCTAGAAGGAGTACAGAGAAGAGCAACAAAGATGATTAGGGGACTGGAGGCTAAAACATATGAGGAACGGTTGCTGGAATTGGGTATGCCTAGTTAACGAAGAGAAGGACGAGGGGGGACATGATAGCAGTGTTCCAATATCTCAGGGGCTGCCACAGAGAAGAGGGAGTCAAGCTATTCTCCAAAGCGCCTGAGTGCAGGACAAGAAGCAACGGATGGAAACTAATCAAGGAGAGAAGCAACCTAGAACTATGGAGAAACTTCCTGACAGAACAATTAACCAATGGAACAACCTAACTCCAGAAGTGGTGAATGCTCCAACACTGGAAGTTTTTAAGAAGATACTGGACAGCCATTTGTCCGAAATGGTGTAGGGTTTCCTGCCTGAGCAGGGGGTTGGACTCGATGACCTCCAAGGTCCCTTCCAATTTTATTATTATTATTAGATAATTACCTATTTATACTTTTAGGCATAAATTTGATGTAATTAGATAGATTGGATGTTACCTTTTTAAAAATGGGGATTATTATAGAGCAGGGGTCTTCAAACCTGGCCCTTTTATGACTTGTGGACTTCAACTCCCAGAATTCCTCAGCCAGGCATGCTGGCTGAGGAATTCTGGAAGTTGAAGTCCACAAGTCATAAAAGGGCCAGGTTTGAAGACCCCTGCTATAGAGCAACCCATAATCCAGCATTTAATTTTTAAAAATTAGGTTTTCAGCAAATATTAGGTTATCCTCAGATGTTAAGGAACATAAAATTGTTTTCAAACTTTAAAATAGCATAGCAATTTGCTAATTCTTTATCTTCTAGCCTAAATGTATCTGACCTGAAAAATATAATATTGTTTTCATTGGACAGATTTTGTAGCTCTGCTGGCTACTTTAATGGTTTATTTATCTGTAATGTTCCACCCCACAAAGATATATTTGCATATAGATCTAGGCAGAGGACCTTGAGTTTCTGGCAAAGGATTCTATTCCACAAACACAAATTCTATAAGAGCAAATTTATTTTAATGGCATTATAGTGTTGTATATAATGCAATAATGGAACAGAAAACAATTATATGGTTGATATTCCCCTCTAATAAATCATGCCAATTTTGGCTTATGAAATTGATATTGTGCCCTTTTTCAATATCAGAAGAAAATACAATACCAAGATTTTAGTTTTATTTGAATCTGAATGCTTAAAACAGTTTAATTTCTTCAATTACTTGATTTTCAAATACTGTATCATGGAAGTTATCTGACATTGTATCTTTATAGCATCTGAATAAAAATTATTTGAAGTTAGAAATATTTTCTTCATGCTACATCTTTCTCCCAACATGTCATTATGAGTCATCATTCTCTCTGGACTAGATACCCGATGAGTTTCCATGAGCGATTTTCTTGTAGCGGTGGGGGCCCGGGTGGAGGCCGTGAGCAGAACATGCCCTTCTGACGCCTGCGTGCCTCTTCTCTCTGCATTATCTCTTTTCTCTGCATTACCATGGCAATGTAGGAAACTACCCAGGCTAATGCAATGACCTTGCCTGCCTGATATCAGCTAGCCTACAACAACAGGATGCTACAGCCAACTGCCCCCTGTTTTGGGCCTCTGGCTTTCTATCCTTAAGCATTGGTATGGAGTTTAACCAATGAAATGCTATTGCTATGCTATTGCCATGTTAAACTTTTCCTGCTTGTAAAACTCTATATAAGAATAAAAGCTGCGACGTCGAGCAGCCATTTTTTGCACCCTGCAATGACTGAGCACTAATTACTACATTTTCTGTTTTAAAAGTTAACAGTAAACTTTTCTTTTTTACAGAAATTTATCTGTATTTATATGTAACGGTGTAGGTATATACATATGTATGTATATAATATGTTTTATGTGTGTTATGTATGTGTACACTTTTGAGAGCAGGCAATAGAATTTCATTTTTAATGTGTGCCAATGTGCCCACAGTAAAAAATGACAATAAAGGTTATCATCTTCTTCTTCTTCTTCTTCTTCTTCTTCTTCTTCTTCTTCTTCTTCTTCTTCTTCTTCTTCTTCTTCTTCTTCTTCTTCTTCTTCTTCTTCTTCTTCTTCTTCTTCTTCTTCTTCTTCTTCTTCTTCTCCTTCTCCTCCTCCTCCTCCTCCTCCTCCTCCGACTTGCTTTTTTGTGTGTGTTTATATAGCAATTGTTTAATGTAATTGAAATGGAAATCTTTGGGAGTGGCAATTTTATGATACAGTGTTTTCCTTTCCAGGTTTTCAAACTGGAACAGAAGAAGACAGATACGTCTGATGGGGGTACAGCTGAAACATCTTCACGTTATAGTGGAGCCCAGGACAGTGGCATTGGCAGTGACAGTGTTAAAATCAGAATAGTCCAAATAGAACAACATAGCGGCACCAGCCAACACCGCATTGCCCAACCTTCCCGACAGTCTTCTATAGTGAAGAACCTAAACTTTATCCCTTTTGACATTTTTATTACTGCAAGCCGATTCTCCTTCATGACATATTCATGTACTACTTTACTTAAATCAAAATCACAGGAAGATCAAAAAGATGGTGAAAAAACCATAAAAACTTCATTAAACCTTCCAGAAATAGTTGATGATTCCAAGAAATCTGACAAAGCAGGTGTTTCATCAGTAACAGCAGATGATCTTCTAAACTGTAACAGTTCATTGCCCTCTGGGAAAAAGTCAGGTCTTATATCTCTGGAAAGTCTTCATGCTTCTACAAGATCATCTGCTAGACAAGCCTTGGGAGCAACTATTGTCCGACAGCCTGGTCGCAGAGGAACTGGAGACTTGCGGTTAGAGCCATTTTTGCACCTGGTTGTATATCAACCATCTTTTATCTTAAGCTGTCATCATAGAAAACAAAAAGTGGAAATATCTGTGTTTGATGCTGTCCTTAAAGGTGTCGCATCAGATTACAAGTGTACAGGTAAGGTCATTTACTATCCGTAATGTTATACATTCACTGTCTATTTTTTTTCTTCAGGCGTGAACAAAAAGAAAAAAATATTTATTATTCTAGATAAATGTGAGGTTATGTATTTAGTAGCTTGAACTGATTTTATTGGTTGCATTATTTGATTCACTCACATTATAAAAACACTGAGGAAGCAATAGAATGCAGTTCTAATATTTTTAAAATGTTCTAACATTTTCATGTTCGTTTCTTGCTCTCTCCCCTAATCATTTACAGACAAACACTAGCTCATACATAGTAAGATAAATTACCTTTTAACCATCTGAATTACTCCACCGTTTGTGACAGTGTACTATTATAATTCTGTCAGGTTCCCAAATCCTTATTGTCTTCCTTGTGTATATACTCTTGTGCTTTTGGTCTGGGGCCTGCCAATCTGCTGGAGACAGGGGGGAAATTTGCTTTTGCTTGGGATAACTTTCGCTTTCTGCTTTTCTTCTCCCACCTCTATCCACTTGAGAAAGGGATGTGTCTCCCTTATCAGGGAGACGTTACAGGGAAAAGAAACTGGGGAAGACCTTGAGATGCGGGCCAACTGTGCCAGTTACCCGCACATCGTGCCACCTGTGGATTGGCTGGATTTCAAATAGACATTATGACTTTGGTGGGAGGAGGAATATTTCTGGTTTAATTATATCATTTACGGGATTTTCCCCAGATCTCACCTTGACTTCCCTACTGTCACTAACCCCTAATAAAAGTTTCCTTTTGAGACAATGCCTGTTTCAAGAGTTCTGCTTTCCTGGGTGGTTAACTGAGGTGGGTCCTTACAAATTCCTATTTGTTGTAAGGAATTAGACAGTTTCAGGTGCTCTTAAACACAGGAAGAACCTTTTGGGTAGTACGTTCAACTCAAAATATTCAAAGAAAAACAAATCTGGTATTTTTTTCTCTCATTGCTCTACTTGGATGCTGGAGCTGGTCAAGGTCTTGGAAAAGTTATGCTGAATATTACATGCACTCTTGTAAATCAGAGCTCAAATCTTGAGTTGGGTATATGCATTGTTTTGTTCTGTATGGTCATTGCTCTTTTTACTTCTTCCCCATGTCTTTTTTTTTTGTACTCTTCTACTATATTCTTCCTTTTTCAATAGATTCTCCTTGCTCCCTTCATTTCTACATTTCTTTCTTAGGTTTATTTCAGGTATATTCAGTTATAATGTCTGATAGTCTTGATAGTCTGGACTGTTTTTGTTTTTGTTTTCCTTCTGTCTTGACTCCTGGCAACTGCTGAACAAGTCCCTGCAAGATTTTCTTGCAAGATTTCAGCAGTAGTTTGCCTGCTTCTTAGGACTGAAAGAAAATGACTGGCCCATGCTCACCCAGATGGCATTGTGTCCCAAGGCAGAATTAGAACTTATGTTTTCCCAGTTTCTGGCTTGATGGCTTAACCACTATATCAACTGGCTCTGTTAAAGGAACTAAACCAATGGTGGCGAACCTTTTAGAGACCGAGCGCCCAAACTGCAACCCAATGCATCGCTGGGTGCCAGGTGGGCGTGCCCACCGAGTGGGCACGGCCACCGAGCTGTCGGCTCATGGTCACTCACTTACTCGCTCGCTGTCCACTCCGACTCGTGCTCGCTCTCTTGCTGTCTGCAGCAAATGCTGCTTCCGCCGAAAGTTGCTCCTTTTATAGTCTCTCGCCTATTCCCAGACTGCGCATGTGCGGAGAGCTGCGCATGCGTGAAGAGGAGGGAACAGCTCGGCCCAGCAATGGCTCGCGTGCCACCAGACTCAGCTCCATGTGCCCCCTGTGGCACGCATGCCATAGGTTCGCCCCCACGGAACTAAACTGAAAAATGTGGTTAGCATGTTGGCTGCAATGTCTCAACTTTAGCCTGTCTTGCTAAGAGAATTTTCTCAGTCATTGCTTCCGTGAATGATTCCTGTCACTCTGAAAAGTGTTCTGTAGTTTCATATGTGAATCAGTCAAAATATGTCAAAGCAGATTGATTGGGGTTTGGTGTTTTTATTTTGCAACATCGTTTGCAATCTAAGACAAAAATCCTTTACCCTCACAGGACAGTTTTACTCGGGCAGTGTTAATTTTCATTTCTACTTAAATTTTCATATTAATTACAAGTACACAGTATCATAGCTTTTTTTTTTAAAGTATGCAAAAATCACAGGTTCTGTGATTGACATATCGAAGGAATTCTCTTGGAATTCTGGAAAGCCACAGTAATAAGTTGGAGAAGGAGAGCAGAGAGTTTGTTCAACTACTGTTTCGGAGAGTTTTTTTCCTGTGCTTCCCTTCTCTAATCTTATCCATTCAGATTAGAGATGCCCATCTGATGTCAATTTCGTGGAATAATAGATTTGGAAAGACTATGGAAGTTATTTAGTCTTATCCCTCTGCTCAGTGTAGATTCTAGTAGAGCATCTCTGACAAATGACTATCCAGCCTCTCTTTGAAGACGTCTAAGCGACTGAAAATTCACCACTGGCTGACAGTTTACACAATCCAGAAGGTCCTCCTGATAGCTAGCTGTTTTTATTTCTTATAATTTTTAGAAAATATTCTATTCCTGAATTCCCGGGCACTTGAAAGTAAGTCCACTCTTCCTTCTGTGTGACAAGCCTTCAGCTATTTAAACACAGCTGTCATATCTCCTCTTAGTCATATGTTTAGAGAATAAATACAGGTAGTCCTCGACGTACGACCACAATTGAGCCCAAAATTTCTGTTGCTGAGAGATTTGTTAAGTGGATTTTGCCCCTTTTTACAACTTTTCTTGACACAGTTGTTAAGTGAACCACTGCAGTTGTTAAGTTAATCTGGCTTCCCCGTTGACTTTGCTCATCAGAAAGTGACTCCAGGACACTGCAACTGTCATAAATATGAGTCAGTTGCCAAGCATCTGAATTTTGATCACGTGACCGTGATCAAGGTTGCAAGTGTGAAAAATGGTCGTAAGTCACTTTTTTCAGTGCTGCTGTAACTTTGAAAGGTCACTAAATAAACTGCTATAAGTTGAGGACTAAGGTATACCCAGATCTTTTCATTATTCCTCATAGGTATCTATCCTTTGCATTTGTATTCACTCTTCTTTTTCAATTGTGATGCCAGAAATCGAGACAATACTCAGAAATGGAATCTGATGAAGGAGAGTAGAATGCAACTGTTGCTTCCTATGATTTGGATTCTGTTTCTGCTAATACACTCCCAAGTAGCATTTTGCCTTTTTAGCATCTGCATTTGACTCCTGATTCACATTTAATAGGTTGTTGAGGAGGACAGCCAAGTGCATTCTGTATGTACTGCAGGTAGTCCTAAAGGTACGATCACAATTTGGGCCAGAGTTTCCATTGCTAACCAAGATCGTTAAGTGAATCATGTTTGATTTTGTAATCTTTTTTTGTTATGGTTGTTAACCGAATCACTGCAGTTGCTAAGTGAATCACATGGTCATTAAGCGAACTGGGCTTCCTCAATTGATTTTGCTGGGAAGATTGTAAATAGAGATCATGTGACCCCAGGGTACTGCAGCTATCATAAGTACATGCCAGTTGCCAAGCACCTGAATTTCGATCACATGATCAAGGGGGTGCTGCAACTATTGTAAATGCAAAGACCAGTTATAAGTTACTTTTTTCAGTGTTGTTGTAACTTCCAATGGTTGCTAAACAAATGGTTGTAAGTTAAGGACTGCCTGTACTATCAAGCCAAGCCTCTTTCATTTTATAGTTGTGCCTTATATATTTTTCTACACAAATACAGAACTTCACAATTCTTGGTTAAATTCCATCCTATCCCTTTCACCCCACTGCCCAAACCTGTCTAGATCTTTTCGATCTATCTTTCATCTAAAAGATTAGTTTTGTGTCATCTACAAATTTTTTAAGTGTCTCTCCAACTCTCTCACCCCAGTCATTGATAAAAAACGTTGAACAACACAGGGTCCAGAATAGAGACCTATGGTACTTCACATTATGCTTTCCTCCAGGCTAGAAACATTAATTCTCTGTGGGTACCATCATTAAGCTGATTGTAATTTCATAAAAGAGGAGCATCATCTGATCCATATTTTACCATTTTATGAAGAGCATCAGAAGATATTCTGTTGAATTGTTTGCTGAAGACCAGCCATAATGTGTTTGTGGCATTCCCTGATCTACTAATCAAGTAATTCTATGAAAGAAGGAGATACTATAGCATGACATGATTTATTTATGATATACCCCTACTAGATCCTATTAAATGTAAAATGTCTATCCATGAGCTCAGAAATATGCCACTTCATAATTGGTTCAAGAACCTTATCTAGTAAAGATGCCAAATTTACAGCATTGTTCTTGTTTATGTCCTCCTCCTTCCCTTTTCTGAAGATGGAGATGACGTTTGTTCTCATTCCGTTTTCAAGGATCTGACTAATCTTCAAAAACCTATTGAGAATGGTTCTGTGGTCACATTTTCAAATTCTTTCAGTACCTTGCAACATGCTACATCTGGCTTTGGAGACTTGAATTCATTTAAATTAATTAAATTCTGTTTTGCTGAAATTCCCTCCTTTCCATAATTGACATAATTTTGTACAGCTCCATTTCCTTTCTAAGGAAAGATGCAAACATAATAGTTAAGAAGTTAAATGCTGTCCACATAATGAAGGTACCAAACTGAACCCAGAATTTTTACTATGTGGACAGACACTTAACTATGTTGTTAACTGGTGTTATGTGGGGAGGGTTATTGTTTCATTTTTTTCCTAAAAGTATGCTCTTATCCAAACATGATCAAATAGTCTATTGATTGATTATTTCCAATATTAAGAATTATTTAACAGAACCTGTGAAGTTACCCCCTCCCAATAACAAGTGTATCCAGAAGCAGCTATGAATTACTGGTTGCCCGAAGCTGCCATTTCTTTTAATTGCAAAAGACGGAAGCAAAAGCCAAGTTTCGCTTAAACATACTTTCTCAGTAGTGTCTCTGACTAACTGGCTATGGAGGATCATTTTTTTCTGGACAATATCTATCCATACCAATTCTCCCAGTGTTTAAAAAAAATCATAAAAATATAATGATATGGCAAAAATTTGCTTAGCAAAAGGCATTTCCAATTTCTCAGAATACCGTGTTCTTCTACATAGCCATTAATTTTAGTTTTCACAATGTGTCTGATTAGACTGGGACTTGTTTTTTTAAAACATTTTGTGGCATTAATCTGCTTAAATCACATTAGATTGTTTTTCCAAACTGAAATACTCACCTAAAATTTAAAAATTATATTGCCCAATTTAGTGCATTCATTTGTCAGACAACAAATTCCATTTCTTCTTTGCTGATAGGACTGACAATCCTTAAATTCCTTTGCCATTCATGTAAAGCAATTCCTGCCAGGTTTTCTGAATCATACTATTACACTAAATAATACATTCCAAGAGAGACTTGATGTGCTAAAATTCATACTGTGTTGCCATGTGCTGGCTATAATTATGAAGCTATTGTGTTAAAGTTTGAAGCTTGTGTGCTTAAAAAGAGAACAGTCAGTTGAAATGAATAACGCCTTTAAATTATCTAAAGGGCATGGTTTTTTAAAAAAACAAATTGGTAAACATTATTTAACAGAAGAGGAATAAGTCTCACAAAGTTGATATGACATTATTGAGCTTTACTTATATTCTTTTATTGTTCAATTTGTTTTAGAAAAACAAATAAAGCAAAGACAGTGAGCAGCCAAAAATTTAAATGTTTTATGCCGTTATAATTTCTCATATGCAGTGTCCATGAAGAAAGACATAGAGCTGAGAGGTACCAAATGTGAACTTTTAGTCACAATTGGGAATATTAAGAATTCAGCAAAGAGAATCAAGAGGAAAAGCTACTGAAGTCAACTTCAAAAGTATGGCTGTAAAAAGGGGTTGAAGTGTCAGTGAAACTATAAACTGTATCAAATAACCCATAAGTAGAAGCACTCTATTGCATCTCAAACCATGTGGCTTTCTGATCTCTATAGTTTCTTTTATTTTGGCGCAAACCATTTTAAAGACATCTGAGGAAAATATAAATGCATTACTAGAAGAAATAAAATTTAAATCACAGACTTATTAGATACACACTTACTAGAGATATTTCAGATATACTGAGCTTATTTGCCCATTCCTGATGGCTTTTACATTTGGTGATGATCATACTTGGCAATCAATACTTTTTACTAAAGTATAATTAACATAATGCAGAATTTATATGTGCCCTGAATAATATTTAGATACTATGTGCAGAATAAAGTTTGGCTTATTTTAATACTGTTAGTGATTTAATCAACAATATGTCATAAATGGTCTTATCATTGGTAGATCCCGGAAAAACTCTCCCAGAAGCACTTGACTACTGTAAGACCTGGTTACAGACAGTAGCAGGGGAAATAGATGTTAAAAGTGGTATTCCACCTCCTCTCTTAACATTGAAGATTAAAGACTTCCTCAATGGTCCAGGTAAGAATCCTAAATTTAACCTATTAATTATGTTTCTTGGAGCAACAGGCACAGATCATAAGATCATATAAACCAGTGGTTCTCAACCTTTTTAATGCCGCGACCCCCAACCGGTTGTAAGTCGAGGACTAAACCAGTTGTAAGTTGAGGATTAAACCGGTCGTAAGTCGAGGACTACCCAACCAGTCATAAGTCGAGGGCTTTCCCTGCCCGGGAGCGCCGCGCATGCGTGGTTCCGCCCCCTGCGCCGGCCGAGGCGTAGCTGGCAAGCGGCAGAGACAGAGCAGGCCGACCACCAGCTGGCCCAGCCCAAGGGAGGTAAGGCACCCGCCGGAAAAGGGGAAAAAAATGGCGGACAAAAAAATGGCGGACAGCCTTGCTTGGCGACCCCGTGAAATGGTCGATCAACCCCAAATGGGGTCGCGACCCATAGGTTGAGAACCGCTGATATAAACAGTGACTCAACTTCCAAAGACTTGTAATAGTTGGTATTCACTGAATGAAGAAATCTTCCATTTATTTACAGGTTGTAGTTGCTTAATGGTGGTAACTGGGACAGGAATTTCCATTGTTAAACAATATGAGCATAAAGCACAACATCACGTGATGCATCACGTTCAGCAAGGGCAATCCTGGCAGTTCTCATTGCCATGTTTAATCAAAATTTCCAGGTCCTTAAGCAAGAATCTGATGTGATTGCAACTTCTGAATTCCTGCATTTTCCCACAAGGAAAATCAGTGGGGAAGCTGGCTGGAAGTTGCAAGTCCTAGGCAGCTCCCAAGCAGGTCAGAGACTATGGAGTGCTATGGCAAGTATTTGTGGCCTGGGGAGGGAATGCTGCAGAGCTACATGAGTACATGAAGCCTGGAGAAGGATTTATGCAATTGGTGAAGGGTTACGGTGCTCATGTGTCCTTGTGGACCATGAAGGGGTTGCTGTGATGCCACATAAGAGTTGTGGAAGAATTGCTGCAGTACTGCACTAGTGCATGCAGGCTGCAAATAGGGTGTTGTGGGATGCATATGGGCTGCAAAGGGGGTGCTGCAATGTGAGTGTGACACAGAGTACGAGGTCCCTTGGGAGAAAAAATGGCAGGAGTGACTTGCAACATTCCCTGTAGGCTTCTCCACTGACAGCAGAGAAGATTTGCTAATGGTGATAATGTGACCATGAGATGCTGCAACTATCATAAGTGTGAGGCAGTTGCCAAGTGCCTAGATCACAACTATATGACTGCGAGAGTAGTATACTGACTAGAACGTCAAGAACCAAACATAAGTACCACTCGTGCAGCACTGTCATAACTTTGAACAGTTGCTGAATTAGTGGTTGTTAATCAAGGACTATCTGTACTCCATCTGTATTCTGCCCAAATTCAGAAACTTTAGGTAGCTCATATATTTTATAACATTCCTTCTTTCAGTTATGATACCTTGTTGTCTATATAGAGAATAGAGAACTATCAATATATCAACTATTTCATTTCTTGATACTTGTGACAAAAGCACGGTATCATATGAAAATCTCTGTAGGTTTATATGTTTTATAAAGACCAGATTATATGTTTTAAATGGGGAATAATTACTTCAACATTTGAGAATGCTTCTAATTGCTCAAACCAAAGACTTCAAACATGGATAAGCACTAACCATAATAGAGTCCATGTACTCCACAGTCAACAATAAGTGAACTAAGCAAATAGGAATTTTGTGTTGCCTGCTTGAGGTTATATCCCATCAAACTAAATGGTGCCCACATTATTGGGTGTTCTCTAAAGCATTTAACAGTGTCTACATGAAGAGAAGAGGGACAAATAATAAAAACACCATTGTACCCTGTGATGCAAGACTGTTGCTTGGAGTGGAATTTACAGCACAATGCTGCTTTCATATTTTGATGCGGTGGTAGATCCAGTAGATGTGTGACAGTTGTTTCATTGATGGGTCCCCTTACATAATGATTGTGTATCATTTGATTTGCCAGATACAATTCTTCAGTTCTGGCCTAGACATTCTGGTTTTATAGCCAAACTCCTGGATTATTTGAACATGTAACCCTTAATCTATATTCAACATGTAGTTTATTGAGTAACCTCATCTCTGTGGGAGGAAGGCATTGCTATTTGAGACTGGCAGTTTATTTCAGGTTTAGGTCAGGTGTGAGAGAATGCCTTGTATGGGAAAATGAAGAAAACTTCTGTCATCAGTCAAACTGCAGTACTTCTTCAATACTCCAAGAGTTATTTTTTGGAATATGAATCAATTAGTTAATTTATTTTAGCGATTTTTGTATATTTTGTGTAATACTGGTGAATCATTTGCAACTAGATATACATTTCAATTAATTTCAAATGGTCATTTAATTTTAGTGAACCATCACTAATACTTTTGTGTTATTTCTTTTTAAGTATACAACTAGAATAAGGGAGTGTGGAAATTTTCAACACACGTTGTCACAGTTTTTGACATAATATATTACAATGACTGTCAGTGATTCATAAAATTTAACATCTAATCACAAGTCCAAAAATATTTCAAGCTGTTCTGCTCCAGAGTTGTTCATTCATGCTTTTTTCTTGGATAGTTCTTCATATATTAAATTATGAAGCTTCTTGAAAGTTTACTATCCAAAGTGATTTGCTGTAGATCTTTAGCCAGTTCAAATTGAGAAATATATAAAGAATGAGAAATAAAAAGGTTGCTGAATGAGCTCTGCATGTCTAGGGTTTCCCCCTCTCGCTTCTGTTGTTTGCATTTTGTGATGAATAACATACATCCAGCCATCCATAAAAAAGCACTCTGTACGGATTCTGTCCTATTTATTCCAAAGGAAACAATTGTACCCATTAGCAAGGTCAGTGGTTTGGAGAAAACTGGAAAGGAGCAGCTACCAGAAGTCCCAATACAATAATATCTCCAGCAGGTGATAGATTAGTTGGAACAAATTGGAACCATTGCACTTGGACAATCCTGGTTTCTTTCAAGCTGTTTTAAAATGTCGTCATTTTAATATACAATCTCAGCCCTGAAAAACAGTCCACAGCAGGTTAATTTGAATCGTATGATGTGTCATTGCCCTCAGTTGACATGAGCCCCGTTCCATGTGTGAAGCCATAATAAATCCATTCCCAACTGAGACAAATTCCCTGTGAGAAGGTGAACTAATCCAGGCCTCACACTGGCATGCTAGCCCTCTGTAATTGAAAGCAGGATCACCTGTTCCCAGCACAGTCAGTCTGTGAAGGAAAAAGATCAGATAGTTACTCTTTTGAAAAATCATATTTCTCAGAGAGTTCAATTATAGGCTGTCCAATATGATATCATATATAAATGTAGGAATGTGCTCATTTGATCCCAGTTTAACAGTTTTGTTAACCATGGTGTTGCTTAACTTTGAAATGAGTTTTTTTTTATATAATTTAATGAGAGATGATATATGAGAAGGAGAACTGACCAGAGTACATACTTTTCTGATTAACTTAGGATCATTTGCAAAAGCATTTCAGTACTTGGGTAAGGTTATTTTTTCATTAATTCTTTTTAGAAATACCTTTTTCAGATAGTGATATAGTTATAAAGCTGCATTCTTTTGCTAGAGGAAATGAATTATGCCAAAGAGCAAACATTCATTCAAATAAATATGATTTAGTTGGTTGCAAAAGAAAGTTCTAAGAAAAGCTGCAAGTGGGAATGTCTATGGAGAGTCTCAATCATCCAGGTCATGGTTGTTCTATAGTCAGAACTGAAGAAGCTTCTTGGATGAGAAATGGAACATTTTCAAGGAAAAAAACCCAAGAAAGTCCAGTTGCCTTTTGGCAAAGCATCTTTGGGACTTCAAGTGGGAATATTATTATTTTTTTCATCAGTCTAAGGTATTTATAATACACAATATTGCTTTTGTTTTTCATATTCCTCTCCTATCCAGTCTTATCCATCTGTATTTTTTTTACTTATATTAGAAAAAATATTGCTGAATTGTGGATTTTAAATGATGGTCAGCTCCATCTCCACTCCACAGAATCAGAACATTTTCATTCATATATTTTTTTTTTTTTATTACTTTAATTTATACCCCGCCCTTCTCCCGAAGGACTCAGGGCATCATTCCTTCTTCTGTTGGTTTTATGGACAGAAACATCTGTATCTTGTTTCTCTTACTTTCATTTCAATAGCTCATTCTTGCTTTTTACCATTTACCCTTCTTACATTCAAATCATATCTATTTCATATGCCATGGTTTTTGCCAGATAGCCCTTAGATACTGGCCCCAGCTGCTTATCATGGTTTAATCAATGGAAGCTTTTATATATCACTATTTAGTAAAACAGGGAAGGCTGGGTTACTAGGTCTCTGCCTTGTAGCATTTCCTATTAATGGTAAGGACAGTATTCATAAACATTTGGATACTATATACTCAATCAAACTCTAGTTTTACTCCAGGAATATATGTGCATCTCACCAGTTAGAAAGTGCATATAATACATGCAGGATGAAATCAATTTTTTAGAAAGCCCAAAACAAAATTGGTTCTCTGGAAATAAGCTGTCTTTACGTGCCAACTTCCAGAACACCTTGACATTCTTCCCTTTATAAAAGCACTTCCAGAAAGAGGGAGAGATTTAGCAAGGTCTTCAGCCTTCGCATTTGGACCAAGAAGAAAGGAAGAAAGTAACAAAACTTTTCCTATTGCAAAAATCTAAAAATGTTATTACGGAATACGCCTATCAGACAGCATCAGTTGAAGAAGTAGAATTTTTCCTGAAAAAAAATCTTATTTGGAAGCAATTACTGTTGCCATCAATTACACTTCTAAGTATATGTACCCCAGATGATAACAAAAATGTGAGATTTTAAAGTTAATAGTTAAACTAGAACAATACAATTCAACAAGGAAATTGAACACATTAAGATTTTACCAGACTTTCAGACTTTTCTTGATAATATTCAGAAACCATTTGGTGTGTTGATGAGAAGTCCCACATAATAAGAATGCTTGGAATATTTTTGATGCAGGCTAAATATCAGCTTACTAGAGGGAAGAGTATGATAATATTAACAGATATATAACAGGCTAATAGGCTTAAGACTTTGGGGGTATCCATTATCCATTAACCACATGTTTTGCTAATTAAAGAAAATAACAATTAATCTTACTTTCCCAAGTAAATTCAGAGTTCTGTAAGTTATCTGATCCTTTGTGGTGAGGGATTTCCATTAGCTAAAAGGAGGAAAGAAATGGTTTTAAACACAATTCTTAAGAATGATGGATTTTGCTGGGAAAAATGAAAAACTGCTATACATCACATCACATCACTAAAAAGATAGCTGGAAATACCTTACCAAAAGCCTAGGAAAAGATGCAGCTGCTTTAATGGGAGCTGCTTCTTATCCATTCCCATGCATAGCAGTGAACTTTTACAAAGGACCTGCACAGCCCTAATGTTGAAAGAAATGTAAACAAATAAAGAAAGCAAATTGAGGAGAGAATGAAAATACAATTTTGTAACTTGTGTCATTGGGGACAGGAAATGTTAACATGTCAAAGTGTATTTATGATCAGTTTGTGCATTTGCTTCTAATCAAACTGTCAGACAAAGACTACAGAGGGAGTGAGATCCTCTGAACACAATGGTACTTGTAGGCAAAGAGAAAGCCGAACTATTTATGGAGGTAAATTAGCACATTTCCAAAGATTAACCATGAAGAGAATATTATATTTACTTATTTACTGTATTTATATCTTGCAATAATCCAAGCTTCTCAGTCTCTCACATATTTAATCTAAAAAATAAAAGTTCTATAATATGATTAATACAATAAAACTAATAAAATAACAGCCATAAATCCCCAGTCCAAAAGACACTAAGCATCATAAAAATAAAATAAAATAAAATGGAATAAAAGATTTTGCAGTGCATGAACATCAATGCTCTCCAAAATAATTTTCTTTTTACCATCTTCATGAAAACTACAAAAGAGGAGGGATCTAGGCTGATTCTGGGAGACTCTTCCAGAGACCTGGCAGCATCAGGCCCTGGATTGTGGCAGGATATAAATACAGTAAACAAACAAACAGACATTTGACAGTTTGATTAGAGGCAAATGACGTGTAGCTTTGCTCCCTTCACCTTTTAGAAATGTAGGTCAAATAAGAGTTTTTCCTCAGTCTGATGCGTTGTTGGAGTTCTTTGTGCTTCTTGGGTTGCAGATGTTTCATTAGCCTATAAGAGAATGTTACCGGTACACACATTTTGGAGATGTGATGTTCAATGATTAAATGGGATTATATATCTGTTTGTTTTTGCTGCTTTGCGCATGCTTGAATATGGTAAACTATAGACAGATGTTTTATAATAGATTGATGTCTTATTTGATTATTAGTCTGATAAGTTGATCATTCTGCCTTACCTGTGAATTGATTGCTTCCTGTGTAATCAGGGAAATTACTATATGTTAGGGTGGTTTGTTGGGAAGATATTCTTTTTGTCTGTGTGCTTGTTGAATTGTGGTTCAGTTTGGGTTATTTGGTTCATAATGAGATAGCTCCAGTTTATGTACGGGTTGATTGATTGCTGTGTGATGGGGAGAATGTTGTGTGCTTTGCTGATGACTGAATTTGTAATGCTGAATTTTTCATTACATATTTTGACATATTCATAAACAGGATTTAAGTTAATATGCGTATTAATCCCTGTTTGGTCAGAGTACAATGCTTCTAACAATTTGCTTGCATTTTTCAATTTTAAAGTTTGTCATTGTTTTCCAATTGTGCTGAAGATTATCTATTTGGAAGGAGATTAGTAAAGTTGTTTTGTGTCTTCTGACAGCTTGTTTATGGATATGTTCTGCTAGTCTTCTGCCTGTTTGTCCTACAGAGTGGTGTTCATAATATTTGTAATAGTTTATTGCATTTTAGTTTGTAAATTACTCTTGTATTATCTTCCTTTGGTAGTGGCTTTTGGTGTTTCCTTAGTAGATTTTGCTGGTTTGCATTCCATGTTTATTTCAAATGATTGGCATTGCCTGTTAGTGGATCCTTTGATGCCTTTGATGTAATAATGCAGGAGTCTCCAAACCTGGCAACTCTAAGACTTGTGGACTTCAACTCCCAGAATTCTCCAGCCAGCATAGTGGCTCAGGAATTCTGGGAGTTGAAGTCCACAAATTGCCTGTAATAATGGATTAATTTTTGTTTAAGGCTTCTGTGTTAATAATATTGGTGGGGTTGATGTGCACTTTTTGATGAAATTATGTAAATATTGCTTTCATTGAAACATACCTTGAAGGTAATTTATTTCTGCTTTCTGTAATTCCATGTGGTGCAGTACGGCTCATGAGGGCTTGATGAAGCTGAATTGTGGGTCTTCTTCTAGCTCTTTGTATGTGTTGTTGGGTTGTTCTTTTTAATAATTAATAATGAAATATGCATTAGTACAAAATGTATTTATTTTTAAATGTCTAACTACACTGCTCAGTACAGACCTCAGTTATAAATTACTTAACAAATTAACATTCATTTTACCACCATGGCTGTTTGAGATTAGATTATTTTTACAAGCAAAAAGCTGTATTAAAATTTTGTTTCTCTCTTTCTTTCTCTCTCTTTCTCTTTCCCACAGCCAACATAAATGTGGATATATCAAAGCCTCTGAAAGCCAATATCAGTTTTGTCAAGCTAGATCAAATAAAACAATTTCTGAAAAAGCTAAGGCAAAAGAGTGGTTATGAGGCCCAGGAGGGAAATGTTTCAGCAACTGATAGTGTTCCAAAGAAGGATGACACATATACATCCCAGTGTTGCAAAAATAAAATTTCCAACTCTGAAGATCATAGTTATGGAGGGGAAAAAGCTTCAGCACAAGAAAACCTATGGATGAGCATTTCCTGTTGTCAGCAATTTTCTATCCATACCACTCAGATTATGGTTTCTGTGGAAACTTGCCCAAATCCATTTAAACCTTGCCTGTTGCTATCTTTATCAAACCTCAGTGGAAATTTGAATGCCAAAGTCAACTGTAAGACTAAAGGTAAGAATGTTGAAGTTAATTTTGTTTATGATAATGGAATCAGGATGACAGTACAGGTAGTCCTCGACTTATAACCACAAATGGGATTGGAACTTCCATCACTTTGTAAAGTGGTCATTAAGTGAGTTGTGCCTGATTTTACAATCTTTCTTGCCATCGTCATTAAACGAATCATTACAGTCATTAGGAAAATATGGCTTTCCTTATTGACTTTGCTTGTTGGAAGCCTGCTGGGAAGGTTGCAAATGCTGATGACATGACCCTTGGATGCCTCAACTGTTATAAATACATGTCAGTTGCCAAGCATCCAAATGTTGATCACATGACAACAAGGATGCTGCAACAGTTGTGTAAGGATAGGTCCTAAGCCACTTGTTTCATTACCACTGTAATATCAAATGGTCGTTAAATGAATGATTGTAAGTTGAAGATTATCCATACTAATATATAATTAACCTTAAATATAATATATTGTTATAACCTAAAGAATGCATACATAGCTTTACTTTGGGAACATTTCATTTAGGTTTTCACTAACATATGAAAGTAACCAAAATGAGCTTTTTTTAACCTTGGTGTCCTCCAGATGTATAACAATAGAAGTCCCTACATTTAGAAGGCACCAAGCTTGGGAAATGCCCCCAAGTTTTAGCAATAAACATATTGACCGAGGAGTACTGGAAATTGAAAGCTATATATCTAGAGAGACTCCTGATTGGAGAAAAATATTACTGAAACTGAGGAGAAGCAGAAAGGACCATATTATTTATTTTGAACGTATAATATTTTTCTGGATGTGTTTTGAGATGTATCTATCAAATAAAATAGTCACTGATTTTTGAAAGCTCTTGTGACTCTACTCTAGGCTACCTTACTTCTCAAGCAAATAAGAGTATGCTGGACCCCCTTTTTCTTTAGATAAGTCTGTAATGGGCCAATCTGCAAAGATCTTTGGATTTTCAGAAACAAATATACTTTTTTCCCCAGAGCATGTGAGGAATAATACTTTTGTCTTGGTTTTCGCTGTGGCTGCTATTATGTTTTATTGCTCACTTGGAAATCTCATCAGTTTTAAGTCCTATTTCTTCTGGACATAATGGGTTCCGCTTTTGGAGGCACTATATAACAGTGTTATGTTTCTGTTAGTTTGGGTGCAAAAGTTAGTATTTAAAAACCATTGTTTGCTATCACAGCTATTAGCTATGGTGCCTCACAAAATTTAATTTGCCTGTATAATAGTGAATACATAAAAAAAGCATGTGGATGGGTCCAGAGCTTTAGAGCAAGGAACCATCAATACACACATGACACTGATATCTATAGCACTTTGTTTTCTAAAACTAAAGAATCAGTAAGGTATTTTGAATATTGCTCCAGCTTAAAACGGGCTAATCCAGAAAATTAGAATACCTGATTTAGAGAATAGGATTCAGTCAAGTTCTAGAAGGGCTTGTTTTTCATTGTGATAGATCAAGAGTGCTCTTTGATCTTACACTAATTTTTGATCATATCTTCAGGGACCAATTGTAAGAAGTAGACTGTCCAACTATTCTTTGTGCATATGGTATGACTGTGACTGAATCTGTTTATTGTTATATTAACTATCCAAGCCTTGGTTTCATTATATCTATTTTGTTACAATGTTGCCAACATATTATATATACTTCTAAAAATGGAACAGTAAGCAAAAAAGCAATCTGTTTTGTCACAATCATATTATTTTTTCTGTTCAAAGTTCTGTTCTGGACTGGTTGCCAGTTGTTTTTTCTAGCCAGGTCAATGGTTTGGCTTAATGTGAAAACTTGAAATGGTTTAGATCCAGGTATTATATTGAATTATTGGCTCATTACCCATCTTCCCAATTAAAATCTGCAGAAAATACCCTCACACCCTTAGCTGCATTAGTCAAGCATAGAAGAAACATGTTCTTGAGCATCACACTCAAGATTGTGAGATGATTTCCCTTCCAAGCTTAACTTGGCTCCTATTTTCTTGACATTTAAGATATATCTCATTATTGTGGATTTTAAAATGCTAGTAATTGTTTTAACGTGGTTTTAATGTTTTAAAATTTCATTGCTGATTATTTAGGTTTTTTTATTGTTGTTCACCATATTGGTAATATTTGTGGAAAGCCACTATGTAAGCAAAATAAATAAATGAAAGAAAAAAGAAGAAGAAATGGGCAATAGAGTAAAAGAAACCCATAACTCAGTATACTGTATGTGATATTGAGCCTTCAAATTGAAAGTTTCCACTTTCATTGGTGGAAAAAAAACTACTGTTGCCCTTGATGTGTCCATATTTGGAAACTATTATATCACGTTATTTTAAACAAACTAACCAGTTCAAACCATGTAAAAGTGGTTGCAGATGCAGATTTGTTTGAATGAACCATCATTAGAATAAACATGTTTTCCAAGTTTATGAATGATTAGAAACTGGTTTATTCAGACCCTAAAGTAAGAGCCTTACTATTTCCTGTCCACCTACCCAGGCAGACCAGAAAGGAAACATGCCAGATGAGCTAATAGTACTGTATTATTGTAAGGCCACATTACAGAATATTGCAGGTCTGTTAGTACAGCTCTCCCACCATCTCTTTTACAGCCTTTCTCTGTAGGCTATACCCTCTCTTATCTGATCATTCCTTAGGCAGCATCCTTTCTCCCTACTTCCCCCATCTCCCAAGGTCTGTCACACTTAACCATTACACTTCTCTCACAAGTAGAAGAGAGAAAAGCTGGAAGAAGCAGGAGAAACATATGCCTATAATTCATTCTCACAGTGATATGTACGGCTTAGCATTATGTTTTGATTTATGTCTATATGTTTATTTAATGGATAACAGATAAGAGCCAATAAATTCATCCCAACAAATTTAAATTGCTTGATCTTTGCCCAGTGTTTAAAAAAATATTGAAAATACATTATTTTTTGCTTACAATTAGTTTAATATACTATTATTTAAGTAATATTTTTCTGCAAATATTATTTATTTGTTTTTATGTTTTTTCTATTAAATGTAATTTAAAAATTTCCATATATATATATGGAAAGCTATATTCTTATTTGTGAGTTGGCCATGGAAATGAGTAAAAACCTCTACCGATGTGTGACATTAGGTAGAAAAAGATATGCATCATTTTTGAAAAAATAAAAACTACATTTTTGAGAATAGTTTTGATCAGGTATATACAATAATTTATTTAAATGAAATGTATGAATGTGAAAACTATTTGCTAAAAAGAAAAGAGTTCCTAAGAAGAATGCAAAAGGCAGTGGCACTCTAATTTCACACTTTTGCTTCCTTACTTTTTTCATTTGGAAACATGCAGGCGCATAGAGACAGATAGACCAAAGTTTGGGAAGCGAGAGCAATAGTAAAAGGAATACTTTAATATAGTAGCTCATATGCATCAAAAAGAAAATTTTCATAGGGAAATTTATTTTTAATTTTTTTAAAAAATAATTTGTTTTAAACATCCTGGTAAATCAGTACTACAGTTTTATTTCATTTCATTCCATTCCATTTCATTTAATAGATCATTACTTATTCTAAAGGAGACTATTTTATTTCTAAGTCCAAACTAAGTATAGTTTGGTTGAAGATAAATTGCAGTAACTTCATTTCAAATGAAAATATAAGCTCAAATTTATGTAAGAGCCAATCTCTTTTTATATTTAACAATTTTATGGCAGTGTTTTTTGAGCTGAATAAAGCTGATTTTGGCATATGAAACTAATATGTAAATACTTCACAGTGTTTCAGCTTTTTACAAGCACATAACCATGGTGACCATCTGCACCAGCTGCATTTTACGAATTATTTGCTGAAGCAAATGGCATACAATGACAAAAAAAAATATCATCCTCTCAGATGTACTGTTAAAACAGACAAAATAGCTTTGCTTGCCTTTTATACAAAATGGCCATCTGTTATACAGATGTTATAATAGCCAGTGACTTCAGATTCAATAATTGTAGAAAATTTTCATTAAAACCTCAACAATTTGCACTTGTTTACTTGAATCTGCATAATTCTCCCATGAGACAACACAACACACTTGGGGCTTTTTTAAGTTCTCACTAGCAGTGGCTTTGATCCTTTTTGATGTGCTGACTTTAATAAACATAGTCAAAAGGCGCTGTTCAAAAACATCATGGAAAAAAAAAACTACAAAGGAGCAATTATAGCAGCAGAAACTACTCTAATCCCTTACTTACGCAAGCTATTTTTAGTGAATGGCTTTTTTTTTCCTTACAAATTTTATGTGACAGTATTTTATAAACAGTGTAAACGGCCTCTTTTCCAGATGAGCCTTTGTGTAAGAGATGGAAGTTGGTTTGTAATGTAAGAGGAATCCTCTTGTGCTGAGAACCATTTTTAAAAAGCTTTGGTTGGGAATGTGTGAAAAGCATGTTTTCTCCCTCATGGAAGCAAAACAAAAGCTTATGGTCGTGCCTAATGATTTTAAAGCAGGTTTAATTAACTGATAACCTTACAATAAATTATGTTTTCCAGATATTACTCACAAGGAATTTTTATAGTTAGTTTTTTTTTAATTATTTTGGGAAATACGAAAAATGAATATTTTGAGTTTGTTACTTGTACGTGCCTCTTTTCTATTGAGCAAACTTTTGTCCTGTTTGATACAAGCTTTATGGGATCTTGTTGGCTTCTATGCATAGACATTCATGCAGAATATCACTGAAAGCAAACAAGGATTCATATCGACTGGCAAACATATGTTCTCTTTGTGAAAACGCACACAACAGTGATGCAGTGTGGCAAGCTAATATATTTTACATATTATATATTATATCTTAATATAATACATAATATAATATATTATATATTGTATCTTAACGTAATACTGAATATATCCTTATTACATGCTCTTTGGCACATGAATTGAGACCAAAGTTGACATTAAATGCTGAAAAATTTTAAAAACTCAATTCTACCTAGAATTATTGCTTTAAGAGTAACCAAAATT